CACACACACACACACACACACACACACACACACACACACACACACACACACCAACAGCCCCTGTGGGTCCCCTCCATTGTAGCAGGGAGGTGTATTCTGTCGCTCTTTGAGGCCCTGGATGAAGAGACCACCCTGGGGAGCAGAAAGAAAAAAGCAGCAAGGATTACCTCTCTTTCTGTCTATCCTTCCACATTTTTCTCTTCACCTTTTATTTCTCTCTCTCTGTTTTCTGGTTTTCCCCTCTTCAGTCAATCAGCTCAGGCAGATCCAGAGCACAACTCTGCTTCTCCAAAGAGGCACAACTCGGAGTTTGTGCAGGAAGAAACAAGAAGAAGAAGAGAAATGGGGGCATTTCTGTGATGAATGTCATTGTGGGACTGCTTTAGCAATATCACTTCCCTTTCCCTCTTTCATTATTCATGCAGACCTATATTTCAACAAGTGGCGTGAGGCGTGCAGCTCCCCAGCTCTTCCCCACAGGCACTAGCCCCGCCGCCTCAGTCGGCCCCCTCCGTGCGCCGCTTTAACTGAGAGCTCCTCTCGACAGCGGACCTATCTTTGGCAGAGTTTCAGTGTGTCATTCCCCAGAAAGCATTTAAAGCAGATTACAAACTTGATGCTACACCTCCCTAATAAAAGAAGAGAGAAGGAAAGGAAGGAGGGAAAAAAACCTGGCACATTAACACCTGCAATACTGCTCAATGGCATCAGCAGATTAACGAGGTAATCCACACAATGAGGCCTTTGATTCGTGTGGTTTGGCAGGCAGTAACGCCAGGCATAATGCACACTGTTATTTCAGGCCGTCCCAGCACGAGAGAAACCTGGCAGAAGCCGTTTCCTTTTTTTGTCTTTTCATCAGATGAGCTTTTGAAGAATTTCATCTCGTGCATCTGGCGCTTTAGCCTGATTCCTTGTCGGAGACATAACCTGCTGGCTGCTCCTGTGAAGGGAGAAGGGGAGGAACACAGGCTTTCTGTGTGCTTTTTAAACAGCAGGGCTGAGGAGCCCCCTCCCCCCCCCACTCTCTCCCCACCATTTTTCTGCATAAGGACGTGCAGATAGGACGTCTGTGTGTGTGTGTGTGTGTGAGGCGGATATCGCGGTGCCATCGCTCATGTGCGGCTCGATTAGCCCCACGTGTCTCGTTCGTCAGACGTGGAAGCAGAGCAGATGGCAGGAGACGCACCGTGTTACCATGCTGCAGCACTATGTAACGCTGCTCTAATTGAAACATCAATACTACCCTGTCAATACACTACTGCTACTTTACAAAACACCAGCCACTGACCTGCACTTGACTGGGGGGAAGAAAAAAAAACTCTCCTGATAAAATGTTTCTGATAAAAGGCGTTGCATTTGTCATTTTTACAGATGGGATTTCTTCTGCTTCCTGTTTGTAGGCTGTGTTGTTTTGAGGAGCATCTGCCCCCCCCACACACACCCCAACAGCAACCCCCCTCTGTGGCCCATTTTTAATGAATTGATGAAAAGTTGTGGGAGCTCACGCGGCTGTGATCAGTAACTCGACGTTATCGAAAAATTCAGCGGAGAACAGAGAGAAATTAGGCGGCTAGGWATTAATTTGTTATTTGTCCAGCTCAATGAGGAGTGACGCAGCCCCCTTAATGAATGGGTAATCCATTTCTTATTGCGCCGAGCTGAGTTCACCCTTCACTGAAGTGGAAAAAGACAAACATATCGTTCACTAACCTTTGCAACTTCCGAAGGCAAACGGAGACAGGGAGATGAGTGCTGAGACCTGCTCCTGAAATGCCTCTTTTTTTTTTCTTATATGTTTTGGTCGGTGTCAAAGAAAGAGAAATGGAGTTTTAGAGCAGATTCGCGAAAACCACAATAAATTCTCTCTGCTGACACTGAGGCTGCACAGTTGAAATAAAGTACACAAATTGATTTGTGATCAATTGGCTTGCTGTACTGTGGAAAACAACAGTCTTTATTTAACTGTGCTTCACGTCGGAGGCTTCACCCCCACCCCCCACCACCTCTCTGCTCAGTCTTCATCTGTTGGGTCTGAAGAGTCTGACAGCTGCGGCTTCATCACGGAGACATCTTTGACAGCACGAGACGGGGAGGACCGGCTCTTCCTGTCCACCTCCTTCCTGAGGGTCCTGGTTTTAGGACGTTTGTTCTCAGCAGCCGATCCCGATCCTGGGAGGGACCCCTGTACCCCGACTGTCGGATGTAACTGTGGGAGTATACACGTCAAAACAAACAGGTGTGGAGGAGCTGCAAAGATTTGTTCATTTCCTTTTTTAACTGACTTATATTTTTAATAGCTTCAAATCATTTGTTTGACCATTAAAAAGAAAGATACCCTTATAAATGACTAATATATGAATTGTGTAGTTAATAATTAGACTGTAAACACAAAAAAGACAATATTGACTCATTTATTGCCAAATAGGGAACATTTATCTGTACTCTCCATTCTCACTGTTAATCTGAAATTATTTTAATTTAGACAAAAAATATCAAACTTTTTCAGGAAGTTACCTATATTACAAGTGTTTGTTTAAAGTTTGCATATAAAGTTACTTGATTTWAAAAAGAAAGCTGAGGAACCACGAAAATATATATTTACCTGAATGTATAAGAGTATGCTTAATATTGCCAAATAGTGAGCCTATTTCAGTGTATCAGTGTTTTAAAAAGCAGACTAATGCTTCATAAAGCTTTTACWATCTCACAAATAACCTGTTTACAAAGCTATAATAAATGTATTTTAAAGGTACAGTTTGTTGTTTGAAGAAGCTAGGACAAAAAACATAAACATTTTAAAACTAACTAAATAATCTATTTTAGCCAAATTCAAGAAATATTCCAGCTGTAATCACAACATACAACAGGAAAAAAAAGTTTTGTAGCCAAATTAGGTGATCACTATGTGTGCTTTCCATGAAAACATATATATTTGAATCAAATCATTTTTCTGAAACAAACTGAYAACATACTTACTTTGAAAGTAGTTGTGGTTCGCACGAGCCCATCCACATCCATAGACTTTCTGGTTCCAGGAGTTTTCAACATCTGGTTAATAAAAGACAAGACATGTTCACACGTTGAGTGTTAAAAACAAACACAATCAAAATATAAAACTGCAGATCCCCCGCACGATGATGTGTCTAAAATAGCTGATTTAAAGCCATGGCCATGTTAGTAAATTAAGCGACAGAATTTTATTATCCTGTATGGGGGCAAGATACAAAAACACAAAGTGGAAAATCYGTTTTTAAAGTGCCTGTGACATCAACRTTTTGTAATAAATGTAAATGCATTTTTTGGAAAGAGAACATTAATAACATTTTGCAGAAAAAAGTTTTTCAACGTTGAGATGAACAGTTGTTGAGATATTCCTGTGGGAAGTAACAGGAAGTGATGTCAAAGGGGAATGTCTGAATGTGAACATAGCGTTGCTACAATAACTAACAGCACAGACTGTAGAGGATAATCTGATGTTCCTTTAAATTATTTTGAGATCAAATAATTTTGTTTCATTACATAAAGAACAGAGAGTTTATTTTCTTGAAGAGTTCCCCTTTGATGTCACTTCCTGTTTTTAACATTTGTTGGACCAAGTTCAAAATGTCAGTTATGTAACAAAATGAGTAAAATCATATTATACAAAGTGTCTTAAATATAAAGATGCTTTTGACTTAATGTATTTGAAGGATATACACGTCACAGACACTTTAAGCCTCTGACTGATAAAAGGTGAGGGGCTTCCACTTTCTTAGTCTCCACCCACATGATAGAAAGACAGAAGAAGAAGAAGTTGTTTTCTCACAACCGCTTTCTTACAGAGTATTTGTTCGTTTTTTCATGTCCTCCATCAGTTACATCACCACTTACAGCAGGATGCTTCCCACCCCTCTTTTGTGAGAAATCGGTTAAAATTTCAAGAAAAACACACAGAGGGAATGAAATTCTACAGAGAAATCAGTTTAAACTCTCTATTCACAAGCAAAAAAACAAGCCAAGCAGCCGAACGAGCTCAGTTCATGGTTGCACGTTCAGACTGCAGTAAAAAAAAAAAAAAACAACAACAAAAAAAAGAGAGATCTTGGCTCAAGTTTTGAGCGAGTGTTGATATCTCCGAGTTGTGAGGAATCCCGAACTGGCAGCTTACAGCGGGGGTTTTAGTGATACAGTATTTACAAGGCACGAGGAAGTGGGAGCTCTGCAACAGACGGCACCGAAACACGGCGCTTTCAATTATTTCTCACAGCATTCATGAAAATAGAAGCACAGCAGGGAGTACAGTATGATCGACCAAACTATAAAAAGAAACACAGCAAAAAAGAGAAACTCCCAAGCTAATACAAATGGTGTGTGCTGTTGCTGGTGAGGAGCTCCGAGTGGTGCACATGTGAAGAAAAAAAAAACGAGAGACAGAGATAGTGTGGTGGAGTGTCGACAGGGCGAGCAGCGAGGGAGAAAAAGGCTGCATAAATAATTAGAGGGAGGTTGAAGTTTGGATTTGATTGCATCTTAAGAATCTGTTTTGAGAGTGAAACTGGTCTGATAACCTCAGCAGGGAGCCTCATACAATTAGACCCATACTTAAAAAAGCAAGTGAGAATTGGATTTACAAAAGTTCTGGCAGCTTAGGCTAATATTTAGACGATGTTTAACAGGTTTGCTGTTTTACTTGCTAACATGTTACTATTTGCAAACAGCAGAAAGCAAAACAGACTGTTTAGATTTTAATGTTACAGTTCAATAACTCTAAAATAAAAGACTAATTCCACTGCACAGATATACAGCACGTGCTAATGACAGTTTATTATCTGTGGTTGTGAACTTAACATCAATAAGCTTTTATTCTACATATACTGCCTGTTCACAAACATCTTGTCAAAAGTTAATGTCCTTKGAAGTGTGGTTCTGTGAAAAGGTTTTGAACAAATAACATCTTACATGCTGTAAATAACTTTTGACCATTCAAATTTGTAGAAATAGAGTTTTGTAATAACAATTACTACTTTATCAGCTGTTAAATCAATCAGAAAGAACAAAGTAATGAAGAAAAAAGGAAAAAAAATCTCATTTGCATAAAAGATTGCTAAGTTAGCTTGTATTTGTACACTGTAGCATGACATTGTTTGCTTAGTTTGTTGCTGTTTTCTCACTCAAACWTTCATGTGAAAAGAGGAATTAGTGCCTTCAGACCACGGATGAAAGGCCAAAAAAAAGTTAACATCCYAATATTTTGTTGGATCACCTTTAGCTTTGAGTACAGCACACATTCCCTGYGRCATTGTTTCAATAAGCTTCCTAGACCTGCCCAACTGCAGCAACCCCAGATCATAGCCCTGCCCYCACAGGCTTGTACAGTAGGCACTGTGATGGGTGCATCTTCCAAGACGATGGGTCCACTATCCTTCCAGTTTTTAATAATGCGTTGGACAGTTCTTCTTTTTGTAGTTTCTGCAATYTCCTTAGAKGTTTTCTCTGCTTGAAGCCAATGAWTGGACCCTTCTCAAACAGACTGACATCTTTTCCACGACCACAGGATGTGTCTTTCCACATGATTGTTTAAGAAATGAGAAGCAACTTGTTACACTAGTTGGGGTTAAATAACTTGTTGCAGCATTACATGCAGTAATTATCCAATAAGAGAATCATACCTGTTTGCTTAGTTAAATCCAGGTGGCAGCTTTTTTTTTTTTTTGACCAGGCAGTGTATAATGTGGGTATTTGCATGCAGAAACAGCAGCAGCTAGAGGTAGCACTGTGGGTGGAGCTCGGCCCTACTCAGGCAAGAATTTCACAATATTTTTGCCAGAATATCTGTGTTAGATTWAACTGACAGCAGTGAAAAGGTGTAAAATGTTTTTTAAAAACTGAAGCTGTTTAAAACTGCAGCAATCTACTTTAAGTTTAGCTGCTTAATTGTTCTGTCAGACTTGAACTTTGAACTGAAGTTTATTAATAAGCTATCTACAGCAGGTAAGATAATCATTGTTTAGAACATTTCAACAAAACCCCACTTCATAGTTTTGCATTTCAGTGCTGATGTCTTCAGTTTAGAAGTGGTCGACCACCAGTAACTGACATTTGCAATTATTTTGGCTTCACATAAAAACATAATTTAATAAAAACCTGTAAATTCCTTTCTATTTTCTCAGTATTCATGTGAGTTTTCTTTTATACATCTCCATCATTTTATGCTGTGGTGCTTTCTTATCATTTCACAGTGTAGTATTGTCATTTAAAAATGCAGTTGCCTTGTTGTCTTTGTGCAGCTTGCTGTCCACCATCATAATTAAATTTGGACTTTCTTCTCGCTCTGAGCACTTCATGAAAACAGATTTCGGCTGCTGCTTCCTACGTTTTTGCAACTGTTTTCTAACATCAAATAATGACAAGATAAGAAAACAAACTTCTCTAAATCCAGAGTTTGCAGCAGTGTCCAATTCTGTTTATGATGATTATTGTCAGTCATTAAGAGAAAAGCCAGCAACTACATACATGTCAACTTGGACGGATTATCCGTAAATTATTAGGATTTTACATCATTTTGCAGGTATATGGACATATAGAGCAATCTCACGGATTTTTTCAAGTCTTACAGATTTTTTTCAAAACTCAAATTTATCTAACATGTCAGAGCCTGTGGGATTATTTAAAAAACAATAAATAACATCACATAGCCATTTTCCAACTTGTTCTGCTGCTAGAAATAAGTTTTGAACTTTTTCCGCTCTCCTCTCCTCCTGCTTCGCAGCGGGCGCTTTCATGTGCGCAGTTGACGGACCACCACCGCCCCACCCC